AAGAATTTCTTCTTGCTCCAGTTTTGTAAAGCCAGTATGACATATGTATGTACATATGTACACCACAAATGATGTCATGCTGTAAATTAAAAAAGTTGTGCTCCTTATCGTGCGAAGACCGCGGCCTATGAGTTATTTCGGAAGGTTTTTTAAGGATATCGAAGGGTACAAACATTTCTTATGGTCAGACTGAAGAATAGAATTGTTTGATTCAGAATACAACCTCAAACCTCAAACTTAATTTCCTTTTCTCCCCAAAAGGCTGTTCATTTGTCGGAGCCGCCGATATTGGCCCACTAGGCACAATTTTGAAGGAAGCATAAATAGATTGCTCCAACACCCAAGAGGGTTACACAATGAGAAATTAGCTGCCCTCTRCAACATAAAATTTAAAAGTTGAAAAGAAAAATTAGATAAAAATAATGAGAAGTTTCATTAAATTTTGTGTGCGGAATTAAATTTCCGGTGGCGAAACATTCACAATGTTGCAAAAAGTCTTCGGTGGTAATTGTTTGTCAGGAGCAACTGTTTTTGATTGGTACCAGTTATTCAAAGAGGGTCGAGAAGGTCCAGGACAGCCATCAACATCAACTGATGATCAACACGTCAATAAAATAAAGAAATCGATGCTTGAGAATCGACAATTAACAGTCAGAGATCATACTGGCATCGATTGAATTTCGGCAAGACCAGGGAAAACATTTCGAAAGATTATTTGGGCCTAAGAAAAGTGAAAGCACATTCGGTTCCAAAATTACTAAATTTTTTCGAAAAATAGCATCGTGTAAAGGTCTTTGAAACAATCCTTTCTGACAACTAGGAGGTCATGAAATGAATTTTTATTGGCGATGAGTCTTGAATCTATGTTTATGAAACGGAAACAGACGATAAGATCGGCCGAATGACTTTAATAAGTGTTTCGAAGATTGGAAAAAATCTTGGCACAAGTGTATTGGGGTCAAAAGAGATTACTGAGAGAGGGATGACCTAGATTTCGAAGAATAAATTAAGAATTTTAAAATTATGAACAAAGTCTTACTATTTTTTGCCCGTAAGTAGAACATTACTATGGTAAATTTATTCAGAAAATTCACACTTCTGTCATGTAATTTTTGTAAACAAAATGCTGCAATGACGTTAAAATTGTCATTGCACTACGCACACATGCAAACAAACGCAAGCTTCGTGGGTGAGACGGAAATTGTCAGAATCAATTAAACACATTAGTATTTTCGCATTAACACTTAGTATTTGTTTTTATTATATGTGTAGGCGTCTATATCGCACACATATATATATAAGTATGTATGTATATATGCCTACATTTCCCATGCCACTTGTAAACTATTATTGCATTGCCGATGAGTCCTTCATGCGATCATTGCACGTTTTGATTGCAAAAGACAAGTCTAGGTCAAATTTTATTTTTAGAATTATTACTTATTTTGAAAAAATTGCATTTATAGTCGCTTTTTGGTGTAAGTGAAGGCTTGGGGTACTCATTTTTGCTCAGTGCCATGCTTGCCATTCTATTCCTTATCGGTTATTTGATTATGCCAGTTTTTGTGAGTTATACCAGTTGTATGTTCGATTCGTTATTCAACAAAATTTTGCGATTTTTTCCAAATTTTAGATAATTTATTGAACGTTCTCAGCTAGAAGCTTAGATTTTGTATTTATACCATATAATATATTTATCCCGAAATATTGAAAATGAAATATTTCATTTCGAAAATTCGACCTAATTTCAATATTTGTATAGAATATCGTTAGTCAACGCTGTGAATACATTTCGAGATACAAAACCAAAGCACGATTACCAGTAAATATGTATTTGTGCTGATTTAAAAATATGCACAAATTGTTTAAAAAGTAAATAATACACATACAGCTAATAAATTTAAGACTTGGACAGAACCATAAACTATTTCGAATTATAGGAAAATTTGTTATGACAAAGGTCGCGTTTCCTTGGTTGAATATGCCTAAACGAAAGGAGTTTTCAATAGAGACGCTACAAAGTAGACCGATAGGGATAGCAAATGACGCCATATTTTATTCCAGCTCTTTTGCCATTTCTCTTTAGTAAGGTTTGCCATTTCAACATGGAAAGATATACGATCTAGCAACGAGTCGAAATTATCAAAATTTACTGCCGAAATTCGGAGTCAGTAGCATCTCTGTGACGTCATTATGGCGAATTTTGCGAAAAAAATCCGTGGTGGTCATGCAAAAGAAATCGAGCTCCATACATAATGGCAACGAATGTATTTTCACAGGAATAAAGAATTTCATTTATATTCCAAACCATTTTTGAAACCCGTTATAACCTCTGATTTTTTTTCGTTTAATATTATTTTACTTACAAAACTCACTGAACCATTCGGCGATTCAGCGCTTCAAGATATTTCGGGTACTGTAATTTTCTCTTCCGCTCTCTCTCTCTCTCACTCTCTACTCAAAAATTCACACTTTTATTTTTTTAAAGAACTTGTTTTAAAACTGTAAGCCTAAAAAACTAAGGACAATTGCTGCTGAAGACAGGATTTATATAGGAATTTGCGAAAAACTAAAAGTTATATAATTTTCTATTCTTTGTATTTAAACACTATTTAATAATTTTAATTTTTTGTATGTGTATTTTCAGCTATAAAACGATTCCTGTATCTTTTCAACACCACTAAAGCATTTACAGAAAACCGCAAAGATGTCTCACTCAGTGACAATCACCAGAACGACCACCAGCACGACAAATACGTCCTATATTGTACTTAATACAGGATACTTGAAGTCATTCACGGGTCTATTAAAATTATTCGAAATGGTAACTTTGAATTAACCTATAGAGGATATAAAAATGTAAAACATACATACAGTTGAACTTCCATAACTCGACTTCAGTAACTCGAAGTTCTCCAGAACACGAGCTCATTGCAATAGAAGTTAAATTTCAAATAAATTTCCGTCCATAACTCGAATTTTTTTTGTGGATTATGGTGTTTCAAGTTAGGGAGGTTCAACTGTATTACTAAACTTTACTTTGTAAATATTGAAAATCAATTTAACTTACGATTTTTCCTTCCACACAGCTGCTCGGCATTGCCACAGTCGGCATCTTCGGCTATTACTGGAACGGAACTGCCAGTTCGGCTGAAATCTTCTTCTTCCTTATGGTCACGACATTCCTGATCGGAACATTTTGCCTTCTACTATCCTGTTTAACGTCGCTCAGCACAGGCGGCATCATATCGAAGACCATTTATGTAAGTTGCACGCACTGGCATGAGTTCGAAATATATGTAAACGGCTTTTTAACGGAATTTTTCTCCACGAATAGGAACTTATCTATCACAGCGTAGCTGGCATTTTGCTGTTGGCCGCTTCATTGAATCTCGTCATCGTGTTGAACGACAGATACTACCGACACGGCAAGCAATACAACGCCTACATGGCGGCCGGTATTATGGGACTTGTGAACACGGTGCTCTACTTCATTAGCGCATTCTTGGCTCACCGATCATATCGCGGCATCTAAAGTTGCTCGATCAATTGAAGTCACCGAATTAGCATCGTTTGGTTTTACTCTTTGTGTGGCGCGTTTTCGAGGGTGTTCATTACTGGAATTCGTCTTTTTTTACTACGATTAATTAAGTTATAATAAATATATAAGTTTTATTTAAATATATAGGAAGCACACAGCGGAATCTACATACATACTTATTTAAAATTGTGTGAGCATTTTTTCAGTCATAGTTTGCAAAAGTCCGAAAATGCAGCAAGATAAAGAATTTAATACAAAAGCAAACCAAAAATACTTACTAAAAATTGTATAAGTACTTTCATCATTTTTTATAAATACTCGACTATTATAAACGTGTTTTGCTATGTATATATACATACATATACATATATATAAAATTTTAACAAATATAAATATTTTGTGTGGAATGTATTTTTATGTAAAATTTTAAATAAAAACACGTGAAATTTTTTTTTTTACTTTTTCCATGGCCGAATGGGTCCAATAATTAATTTACAGTCGACAGATTTCTGAAGTGTACGCAATGTTTTGCTAGAAATGGTAAGTTTACTCAGAGTAAGCCCTAATATATCCAGCATATGTCCTGAAATGGGAGCATGTCCTTCGTGATCTGATCCCGGTGAAACATCTCATTTCTTGGGCAACGCGTTAAATGACTTCTCCAACAATAGGCTTAGTTTTCCTCCAAATAACGTTTAAACAAGAGCTGCTGCAAGACCAAAAGCCCTCGATATCGATGCCTTATATTTCATGAGACTTTCAAATATATCGTGTGTGCATCCTGGCAAAGTCGATCAGCCTCATTTTGTCACAGGATCTAGTGCGTTCAAAATTTATCTTCTTCCCAATCTAAATTACTAAGAACGATCTGAAATTATATAAACGTTTATATAAATATTTTCTACCTTCAACTGAGGTGCAGTTGGATCAGGATTATTATCCGGCCAAGGACTGTCAACTCGGCACTATGCCTCGAAATTACTTCAGGAATGCTATTATTATTGCAACGTGTTCCTACTCCCCGTTATGATGGTAAGTATTAAATAAGTTGTCGTCGACGTCATTCAACGGTAGGCCCTAGAAACGTGCTGTTTCGACGGGGTCGGACCAAAGGAAGAGCGGTGTCAGATGAGTAGGGCTAATGGGACATGGAAAAAGGCGGCCAGTATCATGCGGATACTCATTGCACGCAGGACATATATTAGGTATATTGGAGTCTTTTCTGGATAAGTAGGAGTTTAACCTCCAGGACGAAAGTGCATAATGGTCACTCTCGTTTCTCGCGGCAACTTGAGCTCTCATCTGCAGTGCGTTGTGGTTTGACTCCAAATACGCTATTCACTGAGAGGGAGTGTTGACGGCTCCGCTGTGAATGACTGTCAGTGCTTGTCGGAAGTTAGTTGCGTCAGAAGTCTGGTCGGCGTAGTGTTTGGTGGCGTCGCTGTAATTGAGGATTGACCTATTGATGCTCCTAGGAGGCAGCAACTGCTTGGAGAGGAATTCATTATGTTCCTTAACTGGGAGCATGCGTCCTCACCATAGAGGTGTTTGATAGAAGTTATCAAGTGGCATCCTGACGTAATTCGACGTGACAAGTCTAGAGCTTTCTCGTATGCGCTTCACTGCACCCAGGCGATCATATTGGTGCGGAGTAGTTAAAGACCGGCCGACCGATTGCCTTGTAAATTTTTAACAACGTTTCAATGTCCTTCGTATGAGTAGTGAAGGAGCATAGACTGTCAAAAGTCAAATCTAAAATTTTACGATTCTTGACAGTCGGAATCTTAGCGCCATCGACTGCACTAATAAGGTTAAGTCTGTACTACTTCGTACAGTTTTTGAATATGGTCGCTGTGGAGTTTAGTGAGAGTGAGTGTTAAGTTCCGTGCAGCGAGGGAGCGAGAAAGGTCGGTGAGATATTCGTTTATCTTCGAAGACATGCCATCGATCCCATTGCCTGACGTCAATATCGATGGAAACTCCCTCTAGTGGTTGTGGGGATGTGGAGATGTAGAAGTTTCCTGCGAAACCATTTCTTTAATTCTCAGTTTTGACATCAAAATAGTATGGACGATTGACGACCTCTTCAGAGCTGTAGGGAACGTGACTGACTTTGGCAAAATGTTTGAACGAGCCACTTATTCCTGTTATGTACCTTTCTCTCTTATCCGATAAATGTAGAGAGCAACTAATTTGACATAAGCTCCAAAAGCTCCAAATTCTTCGAAAGGATGAACTCGCTAGGGCCAAGCTCCTGCTAGTGGTCACACACACAACTCACTTGGGCGCATGATATTAATACACTGGGTATCATAGGTAGCACTAATTTTATTGACGATTCTTTCTAGCTCTTCGACAAACGCCCACAGTTAATATTATATTGACTACAAAGAGTAAAAACAGCGCCACGATGCCTAACAGCATAGCAATATTCAAGATCAAATACTCCGACTTATCGAAAATATCGCGTTCGAAATGCTCATATACATAGTCCCCGAAGAAATTCATATCAAATATAATGGCGGTGACAAGTCCAAAAACAAACATCGTCCAAAGCACAATAACAATCTGAAAATGAAAGCAATTCCTCCAACTCCAGCATCCTTACAAGATATACATACTTCTTATATATTTTGTATAAGATATACATACATACATACATATGTAGGTACTTACAAATATGCGCACATGGAAACGCGTTTTCGGATAGTTGGAACTGTAGAACCAAGTGCTGAAGCCAAAGATCAAGCACAGCACCATTGTTGTGGCCAGTGAGCACTGATACAAGAACATATGCATATCGTCCGGGAATGTGATCACGCATGACAGCAGCAAAATGGCAAACAGGCACAGCAGCTACATTGTACGTTTGTGTGTGTGTAGTGATATTATATATGTACATGTATGTCATCAATCTTACCGCAATTATGATTTCAATAACGGAGATCCACTCCTTCATCGCAGGACACTTCATACTGCACACAATGCTCTTTTACAAGTATTTGCTGTATGTATTTGTAAGCACAAATGTTTGTACGTGCGGCTTTACAACTGTTTTTATTTTTGTTTTTGTAACTCACTTTTTGTCAATAAACCTGCCACAATTTCGCCGCCTTGATTTCTAGGTTATATTCTCATTTACAGTGATTTTTAGCAATTAGTTTAAAAATATTTGTTTATTTTTTTTTTATAAAATAAATTTACTATATATTTTAGTTGAAATATTATTGTTCTAATATATATAATTTTATTGCATATAAAATAATGAAAATCTCACAACGAATGTGTGTGTAGAGAATAATTAAAAAGAGTTTAAATGCTTTTGCTACTTGTTCAAATTGATTCCAGAAGTATTTTGTTCTTAATTTTTTCCTTTAAAGTATAGCATATTGCAAATATTAACAAATTGTAGTGCTTGCTTTAACGAGTAAGCAGACGGGTATGTATGTAGTTGTGAGTGTTGGCTTATTTGGCTACGAAATTTGTAAGAAAATATAAATGCCACGCAACCGTTGCAGCTGAGACCGTTAATAATAATGAAATATTCACGGAATCAGAATGCTGAACTGGCTTAATGTGGACCCATAACAATTTTTATACATTTTGTACTAGTTAAAGATAATAACTTAATCATTTAAGAAATATTCATTTCAGTTTTTAATAACAATTGCTTACGACATATAATTAATTAACTGAAATTTCGCTTTGAAATATTTTTCTCTTATAACCTACAAAAAAGAAAAGTAAAATATAACAAGAAAGTAAGCAGATCTAGCGCGTGTACATTGGTAACATAATTGTTTTTGCAACAATGCAAATATACAAATTTATATGCAAGTTGCATGGCGAGGAACACACTAAAATGGCGGTAGAGACTCCACACATACTCACACCATAGCATTTCATATACGCAAATTGAGCAAGCACACGCGCTGACAATTGGAATAGTAAAAGCTGTTCACAACATTATGGAATTGGTATTACATTATTCATTGCAAAAACAAAATATATGCATACATATCGACATATGTACAAAAGTTTATAAAAAAAAATTGTTTCAATGCGCTTTTGCTACAAAATTTGCCGTAATTATTTTATATTGTTCAATACTAAAATTAAGGTCTTAACTAAAATTAAGCGCTTAAAAAAATACACTTAAACAAATAAAATAAAATGTTCTCAAATCACTTCTAAGTCCTGTCAAATCTATTTCATTTAGTTTTCTAAATTTATTTTGTAAATCGTCAAGTTTCAACTGTTGTTATGCAGCTATTGACTAAACTTCACACCAATATTATTGACACGCGTCTTCATGTGTTGCAGTATGTCTTCGGCAAACTCTTCGACAGTTGTATAACGGCTGGCTTGAAAACTGAATATATCCGCTAGAAAGCCCAGCATTTGATCGCGAAAGTAATGGCAAATGTCGCGCAAATTTTCATCGGGTCCAAAGAAACCCCAGGCCATGAGTGGTGATAATTGCTCGGAGATAACATAAAAGTGAGCCATAAATCCGTTAGTATATTTGAGTCCATGTTTTTTGGCTTTTAGCACAGACCAAACAGCAGTGCTGAGTGCCTGTAAGAGAAAATGTTTAAAATGAGCGCCTAACAGTATGCAATATCTTCAGATTAGCAGTGGTTTCAAACTTATGACAGCAGCAAAGTAGACAGCGGCATATATGCGTGCGGGCTTTATACAATATTTTTGCTGCTTTAACAATAAGTACGCGTTTTCTTATCATATATTTGAAGATACATCTGTGTAATATTTGTATTTTGCAGCCTCCGTTGTTACACATACATACATAAKTTGCATAAAAATTATATAACTTACCATTTCTTTGAATCCATTGGAGAGAAAACGATTTTGCACGACCGCCGTAACACTGGCGGGTGGCGCATCTAGATCTCTAAACGAGTCTAACACAATGAAATCCAAGCAAATGTCGTAAAAAGTCATCGCTTTGACATTACGCGCCTCCAGTTCCTTTTGTATCTCATCCCAATTACTCGGATTTTGCAAATAGTTCACCATATCCTCGTAACCAACGAGAAATTCCTTAGTGTCCTTATCGCCCAGACATAGCAGGTCGGTAAGTATTTGACGTCCTGTGTCGCAGACCCATTGACCGATTGCGGGATCCTGAAAAAGTTGAATAATTAAATTAATAACTAACTTCATGCATATAAATAACACACAAATATATACACGTCAGTTCCGAAGCACTAACCTTGAACAAGTATTGAAATGCTAAACGCACGCAGTGCAATTTCACCAAATATTCCGTGTCACTGGAACAGTTTACCAAATCAGTCCGTATAGTGCGGTAAGGTATAGGCGTTTCGTCGTGATGTTTCAACGCTGCATTGTATAATGGATATTGATCATATGAGGTGTCTACAAATTCCTCAAAATCGCGCATATCGGCTACTTGGTCTAAAGCCGAAGCAAAACTTTCAGCCGAATCGAAATTTGGATCGGAACCGGTGCGACTCATAATTGATCTGTGTGAACGTTTGTCGTCCTCATTGCCATCATCTAGCGCATGACCGTCTTCCTCCAGCTCATCTATAGACGGTTCGTCCCGAAATAGCACGGAACGCTGATCTAAGAATAACAATTCACTTTGTTCCTGCAACGTGTAGGCCATGTCAAGTAAATTTTGTATTTCACGACAAAATTCTGACTCTTCAGCAGTGGTAAGTAATGCCGGCACGCCACCGGGTGAATTATGCGCAGCTAAAGCATCTTCCCAATAATTTATAACTGTATCCAAAGCCTCCATGCCCATTACACCTAATTGTTGTGCTGTTAAGTGTACAACTATGGCGCCTGTCTGGCTTTGCGTAGTAGATACTAGTGCCCCAGCACCTATGGATCCAGAGGCAAGTGACATACGGTCTGAATAGGCGACCGTAGAACCGGGTGGACTGCCGGAACGTGCGGATGCCTTAGAACCGGCTATAGATATCATATCATTAGGGCTGCGCATACTGTTTCGTGTGCGTCGACCGGTATATTTGCGCGTACGACGAGGCGGACGCGGTGGTTTTCTGCGCCGTAGAAAGCGTGCTAGCACACCAAGTAAGGCTACGCCCGCCGTTAGCGAGAAGAAAACAACCTGTTTGTGAAAAAAATATACTTAGTATACAAGTATGCGTTATAATTAAATATGTAAACACTAATTGCAATTACCTTTTGCGAGGTAGTCATACGGAAGGGAAGCACGCGAATGCTTGACCATTTTGGAATTAAGCCCTGCATTTTGTTTGAGCGTATTATATTATTTTATACCAGAAATTTAATATTTGTTCATACGCTCTCAACCATTGTTTCGGTTACGCCCGATCGCTCTTTGTAGGTTAGGTGCTGCAGTTGTGTCAGTGGTTGCGGCGAGGTCGGTAAGCGTTGCTGTAAAGGTAGTCATGCAACCGGCAAATATATAATAGCCTACATGAAAGCGTCGATCAATACAAAGTGTAAATCTCAAAGTCCTCTAAAGTAAGCTCATATTACCTAGATGGAATAACCCTTATTTCATGTATCTTTCACTATATTCAATTGCTCCATGTCAAACACACTTCGATTTTTCACACTTTGCACATTAGTTTTGAAAACAGTTTCACACTTTTCTCTGCTCTTTTGATAGAAAAATATTTGTTTTATTTTTCACGGCAACGATTTCCACTTTCCCCTGCGGAATTTATTAAATAAAAACCAACAACACTTTCTATTGCATCACAGCGATTAGCGAAAGACGATTCCCAAATAACAATAACAGCAGAGGAGAAAGAAAAACACAAACGGTGTAAAGTTTGGAAATCACGTTCAACTGACATTTCTATAGAATAACAGCGGTGCTGCCAATCAGACAAAAACTATCTGCCTCGAATACAAATGTTTTTCCCTCACAGTGCTCCAAATTCACCCAGTATTATAAACAGCATTTTAATATTTTTGAAAAAAATTATGAGCACTTTTTGCAATTATTACAGAAAGCAATAATTACGATCCTGATCCGGAAGCTGAAGTTCTATGGGAATGGGATCGCATGCCAGGCGGTGCTGCTAGTAAGCCACCAAAGGGCGAAAAGGCGCCCCTTCGTAACAAAAACACAAATGCCGGCAAAGATGACAATGTTATATCGAATTGTTGTTGTTGGTGCCTTGTGATTTTGACAATTCTTACTGCATGTTTATTGTTTATTTGTTTATTTCTCTTACACCATATCAAGTAGGTTCATACTTATACTGTATTTATGTATTTTTGAAGTATTTTTGCTGCATATTCATACATTGCCAAAAAGTTGTTGTAGGTGATAATTGGTGGCCAAAATTACTAGATACATATATTTATTAATACAATAAAGAGTCAAGAATGTCAGATGGTGCCAAAAGTGTGTATTTTGTATTTAAAAATTTTCTTCTATTTCTCCAAGCGATTATGAAATACATAATTTGAAATTATTATAATTTTACAAGGTCCACGTATTACCTCGATTATCGAGAATCAGTTGTTTCGGCGCCAACGGAGCATACGACAAAAGCAATCAATTGATGTACCCGATTTCGAGAGGGTAAGTGATCTCATCCCATTTAAATTGCACATATTTCAATTACTATGAACTTTTTCAGACATATGCCGTAATAATTTTCTCAGAGAAGGCCAAATTGCGCCACTGCCAAGATGTGGAGAAGATAATACAAGAATTCAAAGTGCTTACAACGCTTGAGGTTGTAAGGTAAATGCAAAATATGGTTTGTGTGTGAGTGTGTGTCTGCCTTTTCCTAACCTCTAATAACCGCAATATTAAAAAAAAAATAATCTTACATAAAATTCACCTTAATGTGATAATTTTAAGTAAAAAAAATAATAATATTAATTAGAAAAACTGTAAAAATATCAAAGATTTTAAAATTTAAAATATCAAAGACATGAAAATGAGAATATTTAAATATTCTATATTGATACGAAATTGATTGATGATCACACAACAAGTAAAGAAAATTAACAACATTTCCTGTTTTCTCTTCTAGCAAAACTGAAAAATACCTGTATCTTTCTGCCTCTACGGATACATTGCTGCGTTTCGCCGATGAGGCCGAACTGAGTAAGCTCACCATCACCGGCAGCATGCAAAAGTTCAATTGCGATTGCATATCCGATTATTTGCTGCCTGGCATGACCCCTGCAGATATCGTGCGTGAGTTCGAGGGTCCAGTGCTGATCAAAGATATCGTCAAGCCAGCAATTCTCTCCTACATAAAGAATGGCATAGTCGAAGATTTCTTTCCACTGCACAATATTGTGAGTGTTGCTAATTACTTTATATTTTATTGACTTATGTTGTTTCTTCCTACTGCCATTTCTAGGAGTATTTAGATAGATTCGCATTTGATTGGAAACGTCGCCAATTGCCCATTGAAGATATCTGCAACTATTTTGGCGCAAGCATTGCACTTTATTTCGGTTTCACTGAATTCTACACGAAGGCACTAATATTTCCCGCCATTTTCGGTATGCTGCAATGTGTGTGGAATGTGAATTTGTCATTGGTTTGCAGTTTCTATGTGCTTTGGACAACGGTAGTTGCAGTTTTCTTGAAAAAAAAATATATTTCTTTTATTTTATCTCAAAATTTATAATATTTTTTGTGTTTTAGATTTTTCTGGAACTGTGGAAGCGCAAGTGCTCCGGTTATTCATACCGTTGGGGTAATATAGAGATGAGTAGTCTGGACAAACCGCGTACAGCGTATTATGGCGTCCTAAAACCGGATCCCATAACGGGCAAAATGATGCTGCAATATCCCATGTGTTATACTTATTTGCAAATGTATTGTGTTTCATACCCGGTCGTGCTAATGTGCGTCGCTGCGGCATCTTATTTTGCCCTGTACCAGTTTCAGATAGAAGCCGAGGTACTAGCAGATTTTGGTAGGTGTGAAAATACTCTTAAAAATATATATTTTTTAATAAATGTTGTTTCCAGGTCCCGACTCTTGGCTACTATACATACCCGTTATCGTACAATCAATACTCATTGCTATTTTCTCGTGGGCTTACGAGAAGTTAGCTACCTTCTTGACTGACCAAGAAAACCATCGCACACGCTCTCAATACGATCGTCATCGCGTGAATAAGTTAATGCTTTTTGAAATTGTCAACAATTTCTTTTCACTATTCTACATAGCATTTGTGCTGCGGGATTTACAACAGTTGAAGTATCAACTAATGATGCAGTTGCTCATCTTTCAGGTACTACGTTTGTTAGTTTTTTTATTTAAAAATATACTATATAATCTTTTTTTTATTTGTCACAACAGATTGTTTGCATTGCACAAGAAATTGGCATTCCCCTCTTGGCTGTGGTGCGTCAGAAATTCGTAAAGTATATGCATAAGGAAATCGATGAGGATGTGAAGACTAATGTCAGCGATTTGGCACGTTATGAACAATGCTTTTATGAAGCTGGACTCGATCAGTATCAATCGACCTATGAGGATTACCTGCAAATGTGCATACAGTTCGGTTATGTGGTGCTGTTCGCCGCTGTAGCGCCATTTGCTGCTTTGGGTGCGTTAATCAACAACATTTTCGCCATGCATATTGATTTATTTAAGGTAAATTGATATTTTTCCTTACATCTTGTATTTATCGTAACTTGTTTTGCTACCCTTATAGCTCTGTAATATATTCAAACGTCCATTCGGCAGACGCGCGAAGAATACTGGCGCTTGGCAGTCGGCATTTGAATTGCTTTCGGTGATGGCGATTCTGAGCAACTGCGGTTTGCTCTATTTGCAGCCAAATGTGAAGTAAGTGCGAATTTGTTTTTACTGTTTTGCTTTATAGTGTTTAGTTATGTATTTCAATCTATTTTAAATTGGGGGAAATAGTTGTTGCGCAATCATAAATAACGGATACCTATTTGTAACAGGTTTGCTAGATAGTTCATGATATGCCAAATATTAGACCAGAGTTTCAAATGTTATCTTAAAAAATAATTGAATTATTTAAAATTATTTTTTTGTTTGGTAATTTCGAAAATCTTAAATTACTTTTTTTTTTCTAAATTTATATGTATATCAAAACAAATAAAAATAAAATTTGAAGTCCCATTACTGGATTTAAAAAATAATTTAATTTGAAATAGCGTTTTAAAATTTCGAACTAGAGCTCGAACTAACATACTCTTTAATATTTTAAAGCAAATTTACATATTTAAACGGTTTAAATATATTTTATCAATTTATAATTCTAATTTTAGGGTTAAAAATTGTATTTTTCATTATTTAATTCCGATTTCCCAATTAATTTAAATAATTAAATTTTCATTTCACATTAAAAAGCAGATTTTCATATTTTAATTCTAATTTTGAGAATAAAAACTATTTTTGTTTTACTAAAAAACATTTTAGAATAAAAATTAGATTTTCAAAATTTTAATTTCAACTTTGTGTAATTAGGGCACATACATATACTAATGCTAGCTTCATTTGCAGAGGATTTTTCTCAAAACTATTTCCACAAATGCCCGATATTACGTTTATACTCTTCGAACATCTGCTGTTGGGTTTGAAATTTGTTATACACAAAGTGATACACGAGCGTCCGCGTTGGGTGCGCATAGCCTTGCTAAAGGCTGACTACGAATCTGACGAGGCTTACAAAAAACTGAAGTAAGTTAGATTTGGTGTATGAAATAGCATAAATAATAAATATATATTTGCAGAAAATTCAAGGCGCTTAACAAAATCGACTAAAACTATGTGAAATATGGACTAAAAAATAATCTCTTGAAAGTGACAAATGAGCGCAGGTGCACTATCTATATCCACTTGAGTACTAGTGGCAAATCAGTCATGTTTTAAATAATATTTTTTTATTTAAATTTTTAAAAAATTTTTGTTTTTAATTTCAATTTTTTCTTTTAATATTTGTTTTTTTCCCAAAACATTTGTCGAAAGCAGTTGWCAATATTATCCTATTTCATTATTAAAAAAATATTTATAATTATTTATTATCATATTTTAATAACTAACTTTATACAAATGATTTCAGTTATTGTTTTACTATTTAAGTTATTATTTTAATTATTTTGTATATATAAATGCCCCCAAATATTAATATTATTGATAAGAGAAATACTCACACTTATGTGCCTCAAGTGTGCCACACACAAAGTAACAACTTAATTTTTATGTGAATTTCTTACAAATTAATGTGTAGATATACATACATACGAACATGTTTGAAATAAAGTCATAACAACTATTTTGCTATACTTAACCTTCAAGTCAACGACTCCCTCTGTAATATCTGAAAGCCAAATAGGCGTCGATGGCATGTAAAATGCCCGCCGTATAGCCTATATACTGCAAAGTAATGTTGTAATTAATTATATTATGTCAGTATAACGGTTGTCTCACTTACATAAGTCGCCGTCATTGCGGGATAGGCCCAAAAACCGGGACGTACCAGAAACTGCGGTTGCAGCCATACCACACAGGTGAAACCCATATAGCTGGAGGAACTGAAATACATGCTGCAAGCGACTGCATTGAAGAGCGTCTCCTGGAGAAGAAATAAAGTATTTCAAATAAGAAAAAAGTCTATGAAACAAATTTGCCTGGTTCTACTTAAAAGCCACTTACGAAGAGTGATTGTCTAATGAGACTGGAGGACTTCTCGGAGAAGCAATAGCATATCATCAGTATGGTTGTGGTTGTGAAGCAGTAGGCGGTCGTCGTCAGCATGCTGGTCAAAGCTTGTCCAATTGTATCCGCTGCCGGCACGCCGTAACGCACCAGCAAGCCCTCGCATAGGAAGGCCAAAGTAAGTTGGAGTATTTTCAGGAGGCCCACACGCGAATTCACGAAACCGAAATTGACGCAAGTGCACACGCGACAACAACAAAGTTTGAAACCAAAATTTTGGCCCATGCCACGCATACCAAATGAAGACATGGCAACAAGGAATTAGAAGTTTGTTATTAACTTTTTATAAATATATTTTTTGTAATATAAATTTTTTATACAATATTTCTCAATTAATTTTTTCGATTACCTTTTTTCCAATTAATTAATTTTTTTAAGTATTTTTTTTTTTTTTAATTTTAAAAACTTTAATTTGAAGTAAATTTTTAATTTAATTTAACTTTTTTGCGATTAATTATTTGTTTTAATTTTTAAAAAACTTTTATTTGAAATAATTTCCTTTTTCTTATCGTTATTCTCTTTTAATTTTTCATTTATTGCTTTAGTCCTCACGTTGTTAATTGCAACATACAAATAATTGGTTATTCATGAACAAAGTTGAATTGTAAAAATACGCGCTCCGCTCTCACTCACGCACTTTTAGTCAAATGCGCTTTCATTCCATAGCTAACTAACTGCACAACAGGATATGCTAAAAATAGTTGCCTTTCGATCCCCCAAGCAGACTGCCGCTATTGTGGTCCCTGACCTAAACAGATCGTTTACTGCGGCCGCGTCTTTCTTCTTGTTTTTGTTTACAAATTGCAAGGCACGAAAATAAATTCGACTAAATGCAATTGCCTACACGTGAATGTACACATGCATACCCACGCACACATTTACATACATAAATATATATAAATATTACATGCTACATATGTACATATGTTATATATATTTTTAAGTAGATTCATAAACGCATACGAAGTCAAATACTCAAGTACGTATTTACCTTAGAGCGGGTCGATTTTTTTTCTCGATAAAATCGCCTATGCGGCAAATGTTTGACGAATCAATCTAAACAACTTTGCTTAAGAGACTATGGTTCTAAAATCGTTTTCCAGACAGCGATTTTTAAGTTTAAAATTTCACCAGAAGGCAATAACAACAAAGATAAGTCTCCATTAAGAAGGCAAGGTTGAATAAAGAATTAAAAATCTTAACAAATTTTGAGACTGGCTCTCTACCAGCCTGTGCCTTTGAATTCACATTACAGCGGACTCTAAGTGTGGTGGCTACCGGAAAGCGGCTGAATATATACTGGATTCCAGACCACAAAGGAATTTTGGGAAACAAAATAACTGATGAGATTGCCAAAAGTGCCATTCGTTTGACTACCGAACCGGAATTGGTAAAACAGAAGTCACTAAAAAAAAATTAGTTTTTTTTTATTCAACATAGTTCCTTTCAAGGCTGACACACTGATTACAATCAGCCTCCAACTTTTCTATACCATTTTTGTAGTACGATGTGTCTTTTGCTTCAAAACGACGAAGGTTTCTTCCCAGCGAGCAGAATTATTTTGAGATTTGATAACAGAAGTGTTGTTCTTGGTGAAACAGTGAGATCGTCCCTTAGGGCCAATTAAAAATATGGACTTAATTATAGTAACGCTTTCTATGTGTCAGACCGGGAACTTTTCAATGAACTTGATACAATAAAATTTCCGAAGGAGCTTACAGATAGATTAAGGTGAGATGACATGCCTTAAGAACATGTTCAATCGCGAAAATCATGTGCAACGGTTTCGAAGAGAAACACTTACACTTCTCGAAAGGACTGTCGGAGGGCTGTTTGCCTTTGACAGTTCACAACCAATTCTCACATGTAACGACGATGCATGAAGAAAGTACAGGGAATTAGACATGAATGAGGCCTTTTATGCTTCCGTTCAGAATATTATAGAATTGACTTAGATATCTAGTAGCTTCGTAGTTCAAGGGACTAGATGAAGTATCAAACTTGGATATCAAGTCGCTTTTGAGATTCATAAAATGCGTTGACATCTTGTGTGACTAATACTTCAGCTCAAATTCAATTGTATCTCCATCTGGTATTACTAAAGAGCCATAGATTTACCATATGTATGGCGCGACAGCCGACCAGTATACTTAACCTAAACTCCAAAATTTCGAAAAGATTTTCCTCACACTTTCGTTTTCTGGTCTTCGGCGAATTGTTGTCGCTGTCGTCTTAAGGCAAGAACTCTTCCTGAAATGCACGACGGACTTGGTTCGATAAACAAAAACAAGTCCGTCTCCTAACTTTTGATTTTCTTTAACATTAAAGAGAAAGAGTGTATCTCTTTATTAAAATGCACTAATTTGGAGGCAAGTTTCGGCTCTTTCGCTTGTACAAAACCAAGCTAAATATATTAAATCTTAAATTAAGTCTTGAGCGATAACATTATCTTCGCATCAATGGTATTTCTGAAGTAGTCTTCAGAAGATATAAATAAAGATTTATTTATGGAAACTGCGAGATTTGCTGAAGGCTTGAGGATATGTTATCAATATTAATTCAATATAATCCTTTGGACTTTACCATACGTTACGAAAATTATGATTGCGAATGTTTACAATTTTACTTCTAGATCAAGTGCTAAAAATTAGGTAAGGAAACATAATGGTTCGATGGGAGTAAGACCAATTGTTAGCGTCATATCGGAACACAATCGACTGACCGGATATAAGCTACATAGTATGATCAGAAGACTTGTACCCTACGATGACAGTACAAAAAAAGAACGTTTAGACTTTTCAGAACGCAACCTTATGCCTGTCTTGATTTCAAGTGGGCATTATCTAAAGCATGCTATAGCAGAAGAGTACCTCTGGAATGGTTCATAAAAAATCAGTTTGACGAAATTCCCTCTTAAATAATTTCTTGGAAGTCCATATTACTGCAGACGAAGACCTCAGGTCACAGATTTGACTTAAAAATTATGGTAACTGTAATGTAATGAGTTTGTCCATTTATTGACCATTTCTTTGCATGTCCCTGGTTGACAAAACATCACATTTCTTGACACCAGCATCAGAAGACGTTGGCAATAAAAACTTTATCTTCCACTAAATGTTACACGCGTACCGCTCATTAGGGTAAGGAAGGTGTATTAGGTTGACAATGTGTTTCCACGTCCTAACCAATTAAGGTTTTTTTTTTAAATTAAATTAGTGGATTTAACAATATGTGTAACTCTTGCCGCCTTTACTACTTAATATCTTTTAAGTTAGAACAATGAGAGTTGTGGAAGATATCGCTGCTGAAGAAAATTGGAAGTTAGGTAATGTTCTGCGTCTCATAAACTTATGCTTATGTTCTGCGGATTCTATTTTACTAACTTTTTGAACATGGATCTTAAAGGTAGATGTCTTGCTCCTTTAAAGTTATTTACCTCGGTGTTGAAGCTTTTGGTTTGCTCGTCATCAAACTACCCAAAACCAATTTTGCGATATGCCCAATAATTCATAACTTGAGGTGTTCCTCTTGAGTCTATTGCTTCAAGCAACCCTTGAAGGAGCTGAATTGTAGTAATTTAGTTTGAAGCTGTCTTCTTTGTATGGATTGTTAGAATAGAAGCCTGCTTCTGTTCTTGTTTCACTTTAGATTTGACATATAAAAGGCCTTACTTTCGGTCACAGTTGAGCCAGAGAGAGGCTTTCATTAATAAATCGATACGAAATAGTTAATATTCTCCCTCACAAATTCAATCGAAGAGGGAATTATTCAGATCGAACCCATATCACAAACACAGCTCATTGTATTTAATCACATTGATTTTGCCATGCTTTTAGCTATGGTAGAGAAATCTTAAATTATTGGGTTTTTACAAAAAGTGATTGTTATTATGGATCAAATTTAATGCCGAAATGAGGAATACTCGCAAAATATTATAAAAACAAGAATGATTTTTTTTATTTAATTTTTTATGATGCAATTTGTGCGAAATCTTAACTCAGGCAGTACTAAAGGTAATTGGTAAAAGAAAGAGCTAATTATTTTGCCCTTTTCTCACAAAAGTGTCTAAATAAAGAACGGTTCCTCCAGGCCCAGAAAGCGCGCAAAATTTTAAGCCTAACTGCGCTGAAGACAATTCGTGTGCATTTTGCCATGCAATACTGCACATACATATAGATACATTTAATTACATATGTATGTACATAAGTACATGAAAAGTATAATCAGCCAACTTGCCGGCGAATCTCTTGCTTCGTCTTATTAAAATCGGTTATAAGTGCGCTTGGCGGCTGAAGGCGTGAATAATAATTGCATAATCTTTTGTTTGTTTACATTGGCATACGTAATGACTAACAGTAAATTACAGAGCAGCACATAGCGTAAATTAGCACATCCAACTATTATTTAATGGCAGCGTTAATAACGCTTTTTATTTTAATTTTATTGCGATTTAAACACCCGTACCCGCATGCGCCCCCGTTTAATCCGAAGTGCTGCTGAAAAGTGCAAAGATTTATGCAGCAATTAATTCCTACCGATGTAAGATAAATGGCAATAAAAACTTGTTAAACTCTAGACAAACAGATCCCCTCGAAATTTATTCCGACAAATGATTGCTTGGCAGCACGGAAAGGTTTTTACAAAGGTTGTGAAATACTGAAATGCCACACACACACCCAAATACAAAAGCACTGGGCGTAGGTGAGAGAAGCCAGGCTACGCTGATAGGGCCCGTACACGACACACATGTGAACTGTGATCTGTGTGAACTCGTTTCGCCCATACACGACACACAAATCCATTTTGCGTTCCTTCTTCACACAGTGAACATGCTCCACAGGCAAGCGGAATATTTCTTGGAATTTATTTCTAATGTAGCACTTTTATCTATTTATTTGTTTTTCGTTAATAAGTTATTCCAACTTTTATTTTTCTCAATTTTATTTTTATATTTATCACTTTTCGTTTGCCAAATGGCTAATTAATTTTTTAAAAATCAATAAACTCTGAAACGCAATCTATATTAATGGGGTAGACTGCTTTAGAAGCTTCAAACAATCGACTTTTTTTTTTGATTAAATCGCTTTAAAAATTATCTAAAAATATGATAAAAAATATAGATGGGAATTCGAAATATTATCGAAGCTAGAAGGGAAATAGTGGCCGAGCGTCTAGCAGATATATGTATGTATGAGCGCTTGGATGAAAAGCAAAAACTTTGACGCGCGATTTCTCGGTTTTACATTTTTACAATTTTTCTTAATTGGCGACTAAACGTCATATGGAATATGCGGCAAAGTTTAGATATTATCTTTGACATTAAAGTATCTTCTATTTAAACTATAATAAATAAACTGAGAAAAGTCAAGTTTGAACATATTTTTAAACAACATTAAGTAAAATTTCTTTGGGACAAAAATCCCTTTTTTTCAATTTTTAATATTTTTGTTTTTAAATTTTACACTTTTTTTTGGAATTTTCTTAGTTTAACTAGAAGATAAGTTATTAAAAAATATGAATCTCTCAGAATTTTTTGTTTTTGATATAAATTGCGACCTGCATCCTGCCCGCCGTCCGAAAAATGCACACGCGAGATGCAATTGCTTCCCAAAGGCAGAATATTAAAGATTTTGTATCCAAAAAATTTGTGAAAGATGTTCAAATATATAATTATAAAGCGTAGAAATTTCACTTGAATCAATTATTTCTTTCCCTCCCAAAAAAATTCTCAAAAAATCGGTACGCACACAAGACCATACACGAATAAACCGCATGCGCACACATACCGATCGAACACACTTGTGTGCCGTGTATGGACACTTCGATAGCTTTGGTTGCGATTTATTAAGTTGTAATTCCTTACACATACATACATACATATAGTATATACAAGCGGTCATTCGTATATGATGGCAAGGCGTAAGTACATATGTAAATCTCATAGCCTCATTATAATAAGCCCATTACATTGTACATCCTATATACTATCCATTCCTACATATGCTTCCGTGGAATTTATGTACATTTGAATTCCGAACAAAATCATATTATATTTATATTAGTAAACTGACGTTGAGCAATACCAAAAACCCCGTCAGGATCGGGAAGGACCTCTCTCTCCGAGGTATCAAGCGAGTTTTCAGATAAGAAGGCTACCAATCGTGCGACTTCTTCAATCTGCTTTTTTAGCGGAGGATGCTCAAGCAACAAGATCACCTCTTTTTAGGAGTCAAGCATTCATAACCAAGCTCTCCGATGCTAACACATAAGTCCGGAAATTTATTGATAGGGTTTCCGCTTGCAGTTTTTATGGATCAATTGGGGATTGGTCCAACTCATGTTTTCGTAATTTCTGACTTCAGAGACTCTTTATAGATTCTCAGCATCTTAATTTTAATATTAATTTATTTCAAAAACGTCTTCTAAGAATTAGTGGTTATCTGTAATTTGCAATACTTTGCGTACAAATTTTTATTACTTGCTTTCGTTATTTTACAAATGTATTTATAAAACAGAGTGTTATCAACTTTGTTTTCCAGAAAAATCACATTTCTGAAATTTCTCATTAAGTGTTATTTCCTACTGCGCCGCAATTAATAGTCAGTTAATTAAATTTAATTATAACACTATCATTTAATTAATGCAATTATTGGGAAGCTTTCACATCACACAACTATTATTGTTGTTGTTTTCTATAAAATTACATATGTATATAAAATATGGCTGAGAAAGCTAAGAAATTGCGGTATTCTCACACAAAAATACCAACAATGCTTATTACATCATTATTATTCATGAGCTGCTTATAAAGTTCTTCAAAACAAATCAATTAAGCGTGATTGTTTTCCGACTGAGAAAGTTCGAAAATTGGGTGAAACGTTATTGCAACACTTATGTAATTGTGACGTTGTTTAATTTAAAATCGAGCATTTCATGGGCCATAAAGGGCACAATGCACTGGCGACACTGATTTGAATAAAGTTGCCTTTAGTTTTCACAATTGACGTCAAATCTAATAATTACTTATTGGGAGATAAATTTAGACATTCAAGTGCTTAAAAATAATCATTGAATATTTAAAGGATCAGATACGAATTTAACGACTTGTACCGTTGAGCACAGATAAAAATAGCACTTTCTTCAAGGGTGTGAGCACAGCAAAGCAATGTTTTCTCATATTCCATTCACCCAGCTTCGCACTTACGACTTCAAGGAAACAGTTTAGAACAAATAAACTTTTCGCTGTGGTCTGAGTTTAGAAAATGGGATTAAGTAGAGGCAAACAAAAACAGCCATTTTGCACAAAACTAAGCCTAAGATTATTACAACTGGAACTGAATTAGATCTGACGCTGGTCATGAACAAAATTCTTATTGGATGTTCACTAAATAATTTCGTTTTTTAGTGCAATGCAAACACTTTTTTTTACTGCATTAAATATTTTATTACATTCTATATTCTCTTTTTTGGAAATAATACCTTTTGCTATCTTTCAGGCAAGAGATTGTTTCCACGCCAAAAAACTGGTCCAAGTGGTTTTTGACGTCCTGATTTAAGGTGAAGGTTCTAAAAATTTTTGTAGAGACCTGAACCAGTTGAACCCTTCGTGCTATTGAAGCTGCCAAGTCTGGAGAATATGTTGGGTGTAGTAGCACATCCTATTCACGCTGCGAAATCTTTTGGCCTTTTAAGGCTCGCATTACACTGGCGAACACTACACCTTTGCTCTTGGTCAATTTTAGCCTATTCTATTTAAGTGAATCACTGAATTTTTCCAGCTGATCCAGCTGAATATACTTCAGAATTTATCGTGGTATTGTTGAGCAAAAGCTTAAAGTAAACAACCCCTTTAAAATCCAACCCAATAGATAACATAGAATTTTTTTGGGTGACTATCGGCCACGGTCGTTAAGGCGACGTAGCAAATTTCGTTCTGTAAGAACTTGAGGAACTCTCAGAGGATCGACACATAACACCGATTTTAAAATTGTTATGACAGCATGAAAAGGAGCTGCCTTTGTACCCGTATGTCTGAATTTGGTATCCCCGCAAAATTAATACAGTTGTGTAAACTGACTTTGGGCAATATCAAAAGCTGCGTCAGGATCGGGAAGGACCATTCGCAGCCGTTCGATACCAAAGGAGGTTTCAGACTGGGCGATTTCCTATCGTGTAACTTCTTCAATCTGCTGCTAGAGAAAATAATTCGGTCTGCAGAACTTAATCGAGAACGTACAATCTTTTTCTTTATCATTGAACTCAACAATTTCGCCGTTAGTTCTGCTTTCTCTAGAAGGGATAAAGAAGCGAAGCAAATGGAAATATCCCCCGTCTCCAATTGACGTCACATTGCTCAAATAACGACAACGGAACATTGGTAGCTACGATTTGAAATTGCTTCAGATATTGTTTCTTCGACAGTCAAGATTATCTAATCGGAATAAATCCGAATATTAATCCGACCAACGACTGTACAAAACTATTGGTGAATGTGTTCCGTCGCTAAAATAACCACAATGTCTCAGGTTCTTCAATATACCATAGTTCACCAGCTTTTTTGTTGAAAAAACGGTTTATTTATTTGTTCGATAACATATTACAATTACCATACAAAAATACATTTCTGAAAACTCACTAATCACTCAGTTTTCTAATTTATTTCCAATCACATGTATGTATGTATCGCAGGATTTCTGAATCAAAACAAAAACACTGACAGTTGAAGAAAAATTATTTGCGAGTAAAAAACTTTTATTATTGATAATACTTATATTTGTTTGTGTTTTTTAAAATGCCGTTAAACCTAACGCATTTGCAACGCTGCATCATCTCGACGGCATTTTATGTTGTGTGCTTCGTGGGTATTACTCGCATTTTAACGAGTTCCAAACAAAAATTAATATGTCTCGCTTCTCGGCAGATTCTTGAAACTGTGGCTTGTGCGCTCATCTACGACATGACCGACTCCGACTGCATAGGCGCGCGTGAGATCTCTACTTTCATGTGGTGGTCAGGTCTTTTAGTCTTTATTCCCATTATACCGGATATATTGTACTGTATCATGGGCATACTAATATCAGAGCCATTCTATGCAGCACTGGTGAGTTCCAGTTATTTCGTTTATCCTTTTTTATGCTGATTTTTCTTTACCCTAGGGCGGCTGCTATAACATTGTGATGTTCTGTGCGTGCGTATTGGCCTGCATATTTGCCTTCCTCTCGGTTACGGGATGTGGAAATCCGAAACAGTCGACAGTATTAGCTGTTGGTGTAATTGAACTCATTGCTGGCATAGTACATCTGGTATTCATATGGTTTATCAAGGAAAATCTCGATGAAGGCGAAGCTTTATTCAGTAAAAATTTTTAAAACAAATGTTGGAGACTAATGTTTATATAATCTACGAGCCTTGCATATTATACTATATGGAAAAACGGGAAGAATATTTCTTTTAATTAATCAGTGTTTCTGTTGTGTTATAAGTAAGGCTATATATGTATGTACAAAGTGAAGTGGAACGGAAAGTAAATTTTATAAAGATCATGCAGCACATATAGGAGGTAGTCGTGACTCATGGCTCTACACTCGCATGTTGCAGGCAAAAATGTCTAGTATTTATATTATATACATTATTTGTTAAGATGGCAACTCTATTCTATATATGCCTATCTTAAGTTATTTTCCGTAACTAAACCCTTTTGGAGTGTTTTGAACAGCCTATAGAAATCTTTACTTAGTTGTAACTCTATTGAAAAGTTTGCAGAATGTATGGTACTCGTTGGAACCCAACATCAGTGGCGTTCAGGCTGAACCAATGAGTTGAAGCTGCTTTGTAGCATTTACCCTGAGCAAAACTGTAGCCTCTTGTAAATAGTGGTTTCTCCAGAAATTATTTTCTACGAACGAAGTTAGCGAAAAGGTAGGATAACGTTCGCATGTAAGTCTATATATCAAATTGGTTCATTGTCGCGAACAATGGATCCATGAATGCTGGCAATAACGCAATCGATTCCTTCAAAACACTCATCATATAAATCCTATAGTTCATATAGTCACCAAAAATGCAAAACAACGCATAATGCATAAATTGGAAATCCTTGTCAGATATAATAACCAATATATTGGTTAGTCGAAAAAGTCTTTTCCTATTTTGTATGCAGATGTCGTTGCAGTCGTATATAGTGCTAATAATCACATTGTGTCATACCATATAGTGTTGGAGAGTTATTCTAATTTTGTTTCAATATTAGTGGTTGCCGTTATATAGTTTTTCCTTCGCCTTTAAACTTATGAAAAGTGTTGTTACATTATTTTACATTTTAGGTGACAATAAAAATCATAAAGCTTCACAGAGAACACATTTGAACGCAACTTCTACCGGATATTTTTTTGTTGCGCTTGTAAAATCGATTCAAGCATGAATCATGGTTTGACACATGGAAAATGAATGGAATTACTAGAAATGTAAAAATATCAAAACGCCCCACAAAGTCAAAAAGTAATTATTTTTAACAATACATAAACGTTCATTGAGTTTTTTTAGAGTTCAAGTGTAACTTATAATGAAAGCCACAAGGATCGACCAAAATAGGAAGAAACGCAAGAAGAGTCGATTTTTCTTTCTCCTAAATGTTGTAAGGGAATAACGAATTGTTAAACATCTAAAAATTCTGCATTAATTTTAGTTTTCGGCTTTTGATTTAGATCACGGAAGGATTAGCGACTGGCTTAGTTTTATATTGCACATTCACGGCCAGCTGTGTGCTTGGCAATGAAGTTAGTGGACCCGTTTACATATTCTTGCTGTTCATTTTTCCCGCTTTCATACCGGATTTGTACTACTATCTACTTACACCCAAATTGCATACGTTGGGTATTGATCCGCTGGTAATGTACATTGTTAACTTTTGTGTTCCACAAGTTCAATGAAACATTGCGTTCGCTATTTCTTTCTTAATACAGGGTGTTATGTTCAACTTCATCATAGGTGTCTTGTGCATTTTGATTGGAGTAAGTCTTATAATGGTAATCATATCTTTTTGTGGATTTTATGCACAATTCCTTTTGGTGATTGCTGGTGCCTTAAGCGTTTGTTCGGGCGTATTTCATTTGATGAATGCCTGTATGTGTCACAAGGCGATACCCAAGTCGGAGAGGTGAGCTTGGCTGCAAATAACAGAATACAAAGTCTATGCTGATCGTGGCGCTGTAAGTGGAGATAACAGCTGTTTTGCTGATGTCACTTTAGGGAATTGTCATTCAACTTTTCTGCCTGAAATTAGTCGGTCAAAAAACTAACTTGGTTTATTCGGCACTACTTTGTATTTTATAAATTTTCAATGCATTCGGTAACATCTGTATAATTTATTTTCTTTTAAATCCATAATAGATATTATAAACCGCGCCGTTCTAAACCCAAGAAAGCGCCGAAGGATAAGAAAAAAGAAGCGAAACCAGCTAAAAAAGGCAAAGCGGAAAAGAAGCCCGACAAGAAAGTTGAAAACAAACCTGATAAGAAGGCTGAAAAGAAACCCGAGAAAAAGAGCGATAAGAAGACCGATAAGAAACCGGACAAAAAGTCGGAAAAGAAACCCGAGAAGAAGGCTGAGAAGCCAGAAAAGAAAACAAAGCCAAAGTCCGCAGAAAAATGCTCTGAAAAGTAGGGGAAAACGTAAATTAGGGCTAAGAAAGACTCTAGTTTGTTTAACTAAACAAACATAATTTAATTTTAAAATAAATGTTTCCTACATGGTCAGATGGAGTGAGAATGGGCTTTGCTTTGCTTGGCTTTTTTGTTAAAAATCCTACACTATATGGTATGACACTAAAAAAAACCGGACCCGCTGCTTTATTGTTCGTCAGAGGGGTAATTGCTGGTATTCGAAATCTTTCATGGTCGGGCAATGGAACGCCTTCTCCATTATCAGAATCGGGTTCGACATTTCCTGGTGTTATGCTTTCACTGCCATTCCTTCCTGTTGCCTTCATAATTTTAGTATGTCCTTGGTATCAGTTACTAGATCACCTTTGGGGGTTCTGCAAGAGCATGCTTCGGTCTTGAAACCTTCTGTTAGCCACAACTTCTACCGAGCTCTTCATACTCCCATATTCCAGTTTATCTCTTTTTTGCCTGCGTTTCGCTTCCTTCTTTAGCTCTTGGTATCTATTCCATCCATCATTCCATGTCGTGGTCGATTCTAACGTTGCGATGTTGGTAGTCTATTTTTTCTCCACTACGACGCTGCATTCTTCATTGTACCAGCTGTTCTTTTAAAGCAGGGAGCTTGAAATGCCTTCCCACAGTTCCCTTATACCGAGTTGCTGACGAGTGCTCTCAGAGAACAGGAGTATGCTTGTCGAGAAGAAAATCGTTCGGCTGTCTTTGTGATTGTAGCTTTTCGACGTCGAACCTTCCTTGTGTTTTTTGACGTTTTTCGCTGGCGGTTGCGTATCTTGGCTGCAACAAGATAGTGATCCGTGTAGATATTAGGACCTCGGAGCGAACGCATGTCTGAAACACATGTCTTCCGTCTACAAAACCATTTGCTGAATGTTATCTCTTTCAAATGTTGGCTGCGGCTATGTCTCAGATGGTCCATCCATTGAATCCAATTTTCGATGACTCGTTCGAGTATTTCGACTGATAACTGGCAAATCAACCGGCCCAAAACGTGAAATTATCTGCTCAGAAAAGTTTTCTATCAATAAATCCCTTGATTGATGCGATGTTTGGTGCCACTTTCCACACGTCTTATTGAAAATTAATGTCACAAAGATCACGAGCTTCAATTTCAGGCATAAAATATTCGGTTATCATGGCGACTCGTCGGCATCATTATACTCTTGCAACAAAGTTGCTAAGGAGAGCATTATAGTTTTGTTCACATAACGGTTGTTTGTAAGTCCTAAAACTAAAAGAGTCAGATATAGGGTTATGTGCACCAAAGTGATCAGGGTGACGAGTAGAGTTGAAATCCGAATGTCTGTCTGTCCGTCCGTGCAAGCTGTAACTTGAGTAAAAACTGAGATCTCATGATGAAACTTGGTAGTTCGAAGATGGGCAAAATCGGCCCACTGCCACGCCCACAAAATGGCGAAAACCGAGAACCTATAAAGTGTCATAACTAAGCCATAAATAAAGATATTAAAATGAAATTTGGCACAAAGGATCCCATTAGGGAGGGGCATATTTGGACGTAATTCTTTTGGAAAAGTGGGCGTGGCCCCGCCCCCTACTAAGGTTTTTGTACATATCTCGGAAACTACTGTAGCTATGTTAACCAAACTCTATAGAGTCGTTTTCTCCAGGCATTTCCATATACAGTTCAAAAATAGAAGAAATCGGATAATAACCACGCCCACCTCCCATACAAAGGTTATGTTGAAAATCACTAAAAGTGCGTTACCCGACTAATAAAAAACGTCAGAAACACTAAATTTTACGGAAGAAATGGCATAAGGAAGTTGCACCCATGCTTTTTTTTAAATTGAAAATGGGCGTGGCGTCGCCCATTTATAGACCAAAAACCATATCTTAGTTCCTGAGACTGATTTCAATGAAATTTGGTACATAATATTTTCTTAACACCCTGATGACATGTACGAAATATGGGTTAAATTAATTCACAACCACACCTTCTTCCAATATAACGCTATTTTGAATTCTATCTGATGCCTTTTCTGTATAATTTGAGCTGAGGTATCCATCGTGGAAAAATTGTCGTGATCGGACTATAACTTTTCCCTGATATCGAACACGAAGAATTCAGTGCCTAATCTAACCTAATTTTTCACCGAAAATATCGGTAAATCTCTCAGATATTTTCATGTAATTCAGAGGGCATCATTTTTATACTCTCGCAATAAAGTTGCTAATAACCATATATGATACTGGTACTGATGATTCCACCGGCCAACAAACCACTCCAAACCGTCGTTTTTTCTGGATGAAAGGGCAGCTTTTAAATCTCTTCAGGTTGCTCTTTTTCCCAAATAAGGCAGTTTTGATTGTTTTAGAGGTCATGGAGCGAAGTGACGTCGCTTGTGAAAGTCGAGCGGCTTCAGGTATTACACAAGCTGATTTCGTATGCATTCCATTTAAGATCTTGACATAAAAGCTCAGCTACGGCTGCTATATTTTCTTCACTGCGTGCTGGACGTGGTCTATTCAGTCGAATATTACCCAATAGTGAATGGTGGGTCTACTTGTTATATTCTTAATAAGGCGTCCGACGTTCCTTCGGAAAGTTACTCCATGCCAAACTTCATATACCCTGTTCAAGGTATAAAAAATTGATCATTCTACGGGGCATGCATGATTTTGTAATCTTTTAAGGGGGACGGTACGTATGAGTAACTAATTGTTTAATAGTCCTTTTATGTGGAGATGGAAACATTTTTTAAGTGGAAGTACAAATTGTTTTTAAGGGTTTATT